ACAGGGACTGAGGGCAATAATCCAAAGTTAGGAGCTGAAGTACCACTACCACCGTGGACAAATCAGGACAGTCTCTAACCAGCTGAGCTACCTGGTCAGTGCTACAAACATCAGTTTGTCAGTCCACTTATTTATGCATTCATTGGATGATTCTTGTACACACCTTGACCCGAGATCAAACCTGCAACCTTGTTACCACCCTTTGGCACAAGGAGACAAGGAGGAAGAGTGGTGAGCAGAAACGAAGGAAAAAGCCATGTAGAGAAGACTGCCTTGAAAGGCGTAGTGGTATTCCACCTAGAGACATTACTCAGTTTTCCCACAAAGACGGAGTGAGGTGAATAAATACCCTGATCTTATTCACCTCCCACCCTTCAGTTTCCTACCAGAGATCCCACTGGTCAGACCCAATCAGAGAAAGAGAGCAGTGTGCTCATGGATGTGGTCCATCAGGGTCAGCCTCTAATCCAAGGTGGGTAGCTCTAGAGAGACAATTGGATGACATACAGCACAGTGCCAAATAACCCGACAACTCACTGAGATATTTATAAACATTATAACCACAGAAACATCCCTGCTATTATACACCATTTTATGCCCAGACACGTCATTCCAACACAAGCAACTTTCAAATTCTCTGACACCAAACTGGGTGTCCAATAATTCAACTGAATGCCACGTTAACTACCCAGAGTTAGCACAGACCCCACATGTTAAGGGCTTGGTCTCACTTTAGACGTCAGCCACAAATGGGGTCTCCAGAGGACTTACTCTTCTGCCAGGCTGACTACAAATCTGGAGATTCTTGTAACTCCCACTCAGGTGCAATTATTTGCTACAGTGACTAGAACTAAGGAAAGCCCTCTCCTTTCTATTAGTTTTATTATAAAGGATACAACTCAAAGAGCTGAATGAAGGTGATGCCTAGAGCAAGGCATGGAGGGCAGGGAGGACACGGTATTCCCACGCCCTTTGTGAGTGCAGCCCTTCCCAGCATGTCAGCGTGTGTGCCAACCTGGAAGCTCCCTCGGCCTGTTTCAGAGTTTTTATAAAAACCCCATTATGCAGTACGATTCACTCTCCATGTCCCAGGCCCTTGCTTCTCCCCAGAGGTTGGAAGTAAAGTTGTTAGTTCCAATTCTCTAATCACATGATTGGTTCCTCTGGTGACCAGCGCCACATCCTGCAGCTGTCCAAGCACCCCATCTATAATATAATAACCTCATTAGAATGCAAAGGACATTCCTATGACTCTAAAAGTTCTAAGGAATTTAGGAGCTGTGTGCCAGGAACTGGGACAAAACCTGTACACGTATACACTTCAAGCATCCCTACGTAAGTTTTCTATCACGCCGCACCAGCACACTGTGCCACCATTTCTGGCACATAACAGGCACTGAGTATTTGCTAATGAATGATGCAGGCTCCAGTGGGCCACTCCAGAGTTCCATCTTTCCTTCTTCCTTTGAAAGATTAGTGGACTTTTTAAGTCAAAACTATTCATGGCTTTAAGACTCTCCTTCCCCTCTAGCTGGATAATCTACAGAAGACAAACCCTAACTGGCTTTCCTAATCACAGGGTGCTTCACACCGCTGCCATCCCAAGCCCAGGCAGATTCACAGGAGAGACATTCACAACAATTTTTTCGAGATGGAATTTAAACTATTAGTTTAGAATCTGCTTTAGTCTCCTCATAGTTTCACCCCTTTTTGTCTCCTTCACAACCAACTGATTCTGCAGCTCTAAATAGCAGTAGGAAGCTAGGGCGGGGCATCTGCCAGGGGCGGTGGGCTGCTTTTGCTTACCTAATGCATTGTACAGTGTGCCACCAAAAGGACTTTATGTTCTGGGTAGTTCCCCAGCGATATGAGTCCCACCTCACGCTTTTTTGAAATCCTGAGTGACCAGCATTTCATACAACATAGGGAAAACTAAATTCTAAGGAGAAATTTTGAAACCAAGGGTGAAGAAGATGCAGAATACAGTAAGGTTATTCTAAATCCATTAACAGAAAAAAGAAATGTGAAAAACAAGCAGGTCCATTCAGGGCTAGAGTGCCTTGAAAACATGGCCTAAAGTTATGGTTTAAAGGAGCGTTGGGGAGGGGGGAACAGTGTTGAACTTGTCTGTCCATCAGCAGAGCTAGCTGTCAATCTGATGGGACTCTTAGGCTTCTCTACAGTAACAGCTTTCTAAAATTAAAAAAAAAAAAAAGAGCCACACCCTGTGGCCAAACTCTGAACTCTCTACTGAATCAATTATCCAAGGGCTTCTTAAGGTCCTTCTGAGAGACTATTTTCAGCCCTGCTCACATACCCTTGGTACACTGTTCTGGAGAAGTGGGATACCCCTCAACCTGAGCAAGAAAAAACATACCGAGGCTCCTGAATTTCCCCAGCTGATGACCTGTTTGGCCAGCGCATCCTCTTTGCATGTGACATACCCTTTGATCCGAGTACATGGCATCATCATTTGGGGGCACTTATCAGAAACTACTCCCAAGAACAGGCTGTGATCCCCTGGCAATGTTTGCTAGAGACACCTGATATTGAAGGGAAATGCCTGAGGCAGTTGCTCTAAACCCAGTGGATCATTCTCAATGACCTAAGGGGAAAAGTAGCTAGCAACAACCAGTGGGTCATTTGCAAGAGGTGGTGAGAGAGAACTGAGGGGGGGGGGTGTGGGCCACTGGCAGGTGTAGGGAATCAGAGCTGGAGGAGGGGCTTGGGTGTCTTTAAGCCTCGCCCCCTCTCCCATTAAACAGTGGAAAAGGTGTGCTAATTTTCCTTTTCATGTCTCTAAACTATAGTCACTTGGATTGGCTATGATGGAATTACACGGGGAAATTTTTCAAAATATACATGTGCAAGACCTTCCCCAGTCACCCCTCAATTCTGACATACATTATGGGGGGCAACCTAGGCATTTTGCAAGGGCCCCCAGGCCATTCTGCTCCTCCCACCTCCTTCCATCCCACCCCTTCCTCAGCTGAGATACACCAAACGCTACTTATCTCTTACACTCAATTACTAGAAAGAAATGTATTTGGGTCACATATCTTAATTCCCTGCTGACAAACCTTAGTGGAATTAATATTTAACAATACACACTTAGATCAGAAATGCCTTATAGGGGTTATCTACTTGAATTTTACATTGTTACACCTCCTGGAAAATCAATTTCAATCATCTGATACATTACCCAACATCCATTACCCTTCACAAAAGTCCATGTCTGACAAAAGATGGTTCCCCCCAGCAGAACATGTCTGTGTCTTTTTAATAGACAATGATAATGAGATAATGCAAAGCATTTGCCCTGGTGTCTCAGCTGCTAGGAAACAGGTTTGTTTGTTCTTAACAGCAATAACAGCATACTGGTTAGGCTGCTTAGAATGGCTTGTAAAGAGAGAGTAGTACCCACTGGAACTGTGAGAATAGAGATGTTCTAATTCTACACTATCCAATTTGGTACCCAGTTGTCAATGTGGCTAGTAATCCCTTTAAATGTGATGGTGTGACTGAAGAATAAATTTTAAATTTTATTTAAATTCAACTAAATTAAAGAGCCACAGGTGGCTAGCACCCACCTTGCACAGCATGAATGTAAGGCCTCTTTTTACACTTAAGCTTACAGTTAATACATAAATATAAGTAGCATGATACAAGATGTTTATAGTAGTTTCAACTTCAGTGCAAATGCCATGTTTATATTGTAAGAGTGCCATTGGCTTTTAGTGATATTATTCAAAAGGCCGTGGCTGCTCTCAGTAAAGGGAGGGCTCAGGTGATCTCTCTGGCACAGCCTGATTTAATAGGCCCTCTGGCCTCAGATGTTACCGTTAGAAGCGCTGAACTTCCTCTGACAGTGCCACCATACTCCACCTCAGTAGGACCCTCCGCTACAGACTCTCCCTATTCAACCCCACCAGGTACAGGGAGAGTAGGAGGTGGCTTTAACGCTTGCCTCCTTAAGTCACACCTGGAGAGTGTGCTCTCTTTTTACCGAAGGGCCCAGTGGGTCTGCAGGTGTCTCACACTCAGCATTCCGACACTTCGGGCCCTGTGACTATCTCAGTGTTGTAGAGGGTGGTCCTGGGCACCAGAGAAGGTTTAGTAGCATTCCGGCCTCTACTCATCAACAATACACACTTGGCTTAGAACAGATGCCGGCAGCACCCCAGAACTGCCCCACCCCCCGCAGTGGTGCCAACCAAATATTCCTCCAGACGTTGTGAAGTATCTCATGGGGGGAAATTTCAGTGGTTTTCAACCAGGGGTTGGTGTGACTGAAGAATGAATTTTAAATTTTATTTAATTTCAACTAAATTAAAGAGCCACAGGTGGCTAGCACCCACCTTGCACAGCATGAATGTAAGGCCTCTTTTTACACTTAAACTTACAGTTAATACATAAGTATAAATAACATGATACAAGATATTTATCAGAGTTTCAACTTCAGTTGAAACAATACACACTTGGCTTAGAACAGATGCCAGCAGCTCCCCAGGACCCCCCCCCCCGCCGGCAGTGGTGCCAACCAAATATTCCTTCAGACGTTGTGAAGTATCTCACGGGGGGTAACGTCAGTGTAGTGTAAGTTCTTGGACTATGGAATACTTAAGAGACTATCTCAGTGTTTGTTACTGTTTTTAAATATCTAGTACTAGCAGATCCCTGGTATGTGCTATATACTCAATTAAGCATTGCTTGGGTGAATAAATAAAAGGCCACTATTATATTTTAACTTTTATAATATCCCCCTCAGTGTTTAGCAAAGTGTAAGACTCAATCAACAAATTTTCTGGTTGATTAATGTTCTTACAGGTTTTCAAAAGTAGAAATTCCTGCTAATAACTACTTCTGAGGAAGCAGACTCATGGGGAAATAAATCTCTTTTCTATACCTTCATGTGCATGAAACAATTTCCTGCCCTGTTAGGGTTTCTAGCAAACAGTGTAAGTCTGAAAACATAGCCTCATCATTTCCAAATTACGTACCCAGCCATCCACGCGTGAAGAAGCACAGCTCCGTAGCCTCTCTCTCGGCCTCGGCCTTGGTCTCGCTCTCTTCACCGTCCGAATGCTGGGGTCAGAAGGAGCCAGTCACCTCCTGCACCAGGTACAAACCCCAGGAACTCCTGCTGCCAGCTTTACTGCAGGAGAAAAATAGATTGTTCGGTTCACTTTGCAGATCCTGAACCTTTTAAGCTGCATTTGCCAGCAGGTGATGCTTTTATCTCATTTGTCACAATCAAAGCCTGAAGAACAACTCTACTAATTACAGCCAAACCACTGCACCTAAAAGTTCGGGGATGATTTACTCCGTGTCCACATGGCCTAGCACTGCGCACTCAAATTAAAGGCATTCCCACTGCATGCAGACTTAAACCAAAGATACATTTAGCATAGTGTGCCCTTCACTGTCTGTTCACCTAAAATGTTTACGGTACTTAAGCTTCTTGGACAGGATTTCTTATTTAATGGAAACTGTCTCTCTAAACCCCATATTACTGGCTGTACATTTAAAGAGCTATTGTTTTCAAACAACCAAGATCAGGAAGTCCCGATTTCACCACGGGCAATGTCAGAGCATTTATTATAACCAAACAAACAAAGGAGTAGGAAGACAAAGCAGTGTATTTGCAAAAACCATCCCTTCCCTCAGAGCAGTGGTTTGCTAGATATTAGAATCACCTGGGTAGCTTCTGAAGCCCCCCCACCCCAAGAGTCAGGTCACACAGCAAACAAATTAAACCAGAATCTAGAATAGTATCTAGTATCTAGAATAGTATCTAGTATAGTATCTAGTAGGCCGGGATGCTACTAAACCTTCTCTGGTGCACAGGCACTGCAAATTATTTTAAGTAATTTTAGAACAGTTTTCAGTATATGGAAAAATCGCAAATTTAGTACAGAGATTTCCCATGTACCACATGCTCAGTTTTAACTATTATTGACATCTTGTATCAGTATGGTACATTTGTCACAAGTAATGAGCAATATTGATATATTATTAACTGAAGTCCATGTTTTTTTATATCTCCTTGGTTTTCCCTTAATTTCCTTTTTGTATATCAGGATCCCAATTACATGCAGTCACCATGGCTCCTTAGGTTTCTCTTGGCTGTAATGGTTTCACAGATGTCCACTATTCTTAATGACCTTGTCAGCCTTGAGGAGTACTTGTCGGGTACTTTGTAGGATGTCCCTCAACTGGGATTTGTCTGATGTTTTCTCTTTGATTAGACTGGGGCTATGTGCTTTGGGGAGGAAGACCACAGAGATAAAGCCATTCTGGTCATATCAAATCAGGGGTACATACATCAACATGACTTGCCTATTGATGTCAACCTTAACCATTTGGCTAAGGTGTTTGTCAAGTTTCTCCAGCACAAAGTTACTCTCCTCCCCCCCTTTTCATTCTGCACTCTTTTTAAGGAAGCCACTCTGTTCCACCCACTTCCTTGGGTTATACTTCATTTCCCTAAGGACATAGTATCTACATGAAACTTTTAGACTTCTTTAGTATAAGAAATGTTTGTTTTCCTCCACTTATTTATATATTCAATAATTTATTCATACCCATGTGGGCTCATTTATTTATTTCCTACTTTGGGTTTCATTCCAATACTACTTTATTTTGTGGCTCAGTTGTCCCAGATTTGGGCATTGGGAGCTCTCTCAGGTGGCCCCGTGTCCCACTGACACGCCTCCTCACTGCATTGGGAGCTCTCTCAGGTGGCCCCGTGTCCCACTGACACGCCCCCTCACTGCATTGGGAGCTCTCTCAGGTGGCCCCGTGTCCCACTGACACAACCTCCTCACTGCATTGCTGTTGTTCCATGCACCTTCTTACTCTTTTGGTACATAAGCTGCTCCACGCTCATTTTTCATATTTGCTACCCTAGTCCTAGAAGCAGCCATTTGCCTTAGCTCTGGTTCCTTTTGTGGAAGAATGATATTAGAAACCAAGATCTGGTGCTGAGTATGTTCATTGCCACAGGGCTATCATTGCTCCCAGGCCCTCTCAGTTGACAGAACAAGGAAATATATGTGTGTAAGTATTAACCCATGGATATATATATGGTGGACACGCCAAAACCTGGAATTATCTTCTGGACGGGGGGGCGGGCCTTGTAGTGCAGGCCCAGCTCACTTGGTGAGTGTTCTAGGAACCCATTTGTATCAGTGTACCCTCTGGTATTGTTGTGAGAGGCTGCATTCAGCTTCAGTGAATTTTTTTGAAGACCCTTTCAATGCATTTGCCCATTTTGTGGTGGGTAATTTGCAAGCACACATGCCCACACCATACTGAGTGCTCAGCAGTTTTTGACTAAAAAACAAACAGCACGGCCCCTCTGTCCCGCCTTCCCTATTCACCTGATATTTCCCCTAGAAACATTTTGGGTTCCAAGATGACAAAAAGTCCTCAAAGGAAAACATTTTGCTGATATGGAAGAGGTGAAACAAAAAATGGCAGAAGCATTAAATGGCATCAAAATTGATGAGTTCAAAAACTATTTTGAGCAGTGGAAAAAACGTCTTGACAGGTGAATTGCATCAAATGGAGAGTGACTGACGTTTAAACATGTAAGAACACACAATTTGTTATAAATAAATTCTGTGTGGAGGTCCCCTCAAATGCATATCTATAAGTATTTCTGTATGTGATTATAGGTATCTATATTAGGCTAACGTGAATCCATATGGGTTTCTCCAACTCTAATCCAACTACTAGATTGATGATTCCAGCCTCTTCCTCTTGCTTATCTGTAACTCCCACTCCAACAGGGAAAGACTGGCTCCCACCACTGTCCATCCATACTTGTTAAATTCCAGTATGCATGGAGAGTGGTGTGGGAATTGTTAACCTGTACCTCCATGGCACACAAGTTTTCAACTGGAGCACAGTATGTGCCATCTGTATCTTGTCTTTTGATTCTCTCAACAGTATCCTTCACAGAAGTTTTTAATTTAGATAAAGTTCAACTTATCATTTTCTTACTAAATCATGCTTTGGCTCATATATCTAAAAACTTGTCAAACCCAAAGTTTCATAGCTTTTCTCCACTGTTTTATTCCAACAGATTTATAGTTTTGTATATTATATTTAGTTCTGTGATCTATTTTTAGCTCATTATTATAGAGTGTAAGGTCTGGGTCTAGGTTTTATTTTTATCTTACAGATGAACCTCTAATTGTTCCACGTTGTTTGTTAAAATGCTTATCCTTTCTTCGCGGAATTGGCTTTGCTCCTTTGTCAAAGGTCAGCTGATGCTATTTGTGTGGGTCTACTTCTTGGTTCTCTATCCTGTTCCATTGGTCTGCATGTCTGTTTCTTCACCAGTGAACAGTCTTGATTACCGAAGCGTTATAGTAAGTCTTGAAACTGAGTACTGTGACTCCTCCAACTTGGTTCTTTTTCAGTGTTGTGTTGGGCATTGCCATTTTTTTAATGCTTCCCCAATGATTCCAATGTGTAACCACAGGTAGCAATCACTGCCTTGGAGGCAGCTGGGAATAGGAGCAAGAACATGGATATTAAAGTATAGCAGCCCTTTGTTCAAGTCCTTGGTCTGTAGGTAAGGCATTTGAAATCATGGGGCTTCACTTTCCTATTCAGGAAATGGGAGATTAAAATGCTTACTGGCTGTGTTTTTGTAAAAGCAATGTGGGGACTGGGATGTGCATGTAGCAACCAATCAATCCAGTCAAGTTCTCTCTCTCGCCTTTGAATATTTTCTTTGACTGTTTCCTTAGTGCATTCTTTGACCATTTTCTTCCAAATATTATGAAGTATTGGAGTAGTTATTATTATGAAACATCTCCTGATGGCTGCATATGCATGTAAGATGGATTATAATTCAGTTTTGCTTCCCCTGGAGACTGGCTGCCTAGACTAAAGAAATAAGCCTGTTTGACCATCTTTCTTAGAAGCAAGTGATTCGTGTGGAGCTCATGGGCAATTAATACCTGTCTATTTTTTAATGATCTGGGGAAGGAATGAAAGTTTAGTAACTGCATGGAAACAATAATGAGAGTAAGAAGAAATAGCACGAAAGATAAAGAAATAAAAATAAGAATGATAAAAGTGCTGTGTAGAAGGCAAATGACAAGAAAAAACATGGTTTTTAAAGTGACATCAGATCTTTTTATGATTATATTTTCCTACATTTTAAAATTGGATTTTTGTTTCAGTGGAAATTTATATAAGTGGGATTATAGGTAAAAAGTAGAAACAGTTTAAAAATTTTGGTGAATATATGTTCTTGCTTTCCAAAAACCCATTCTTTATTCTACAGAGTAAGAGATGCATCTACAAGCAAGCAAACAAACAACACTATAACTAAAAGTCAAAAGGTGAAAAGAGAGGAAAAAAACTGCATTTATCAAGCATGTTTGTGCTCCAGGCATGCTAGGAATTACACATTTAAATTATTTATCAATACTCATGATAAATTTAATACCATTCTCACTCATTAGATGAGAACTGAAGTCTTGGCAAAGCTCAGTGCCTTTCCTGTATGAGCACTCTAAGACTTCTGGTCCCGCCCCTGTTAGCAGTCTGAAAGGAAAGACATCTTTAACTTCTTACAGGACACGGACAGGTGGGTTTTCACAACGGCCACTCCCAAGACGGCAACCCTCCTCCTGCATCTCCCCAGGAGTCATTAGCGAATCCCAGAGCCCTCTATCCCTGCTTCCAACAGATGTGCCAGCCCAGCAGCAGTGGCGATAATGAGACTCAGTCACCAAGGAACAGACGCTGGTGACTCACTGGAGACAGGGGCCAGTTCTCACTATGCCTCTTCTCCCACTGCAAACATTCTGCCCAAACAAATTCCTTAAAATAAAACTGAGGACAAAACCCGAAGAAAAGAAAATGTCAGAGGGTCAGAAGGGGTCACAGAAACCACTGTAGAACCCAATTAAAAGTTGGTATTTTCCAGCTTCACTTGTGACAGGTACTTTTGTCCACATTCCCCCCTCATTTCCCCGAGGAAAGGTGATGAGACATAAACCAACAGAGTGGAAAACACCGCTCTGAGAAGGAACTGTTAGAGAATTCACAGTAGCAGATGCAAAGAATTTAGGAGTAATTAAAGATACTCTAAGAGAAAACAATTCCCTATCCTGTAAGCTGGGAAGAGAT